GAAGGTTGGGGTTAAATCATACACCAGGGACAATCCCCGACACAGGCTGGGAGCTGCCACTGCTGGCCAACAGGTGAAACACTCAACTCTCGCCTCTGTGCCATTTCTGGTTCCCGGACCCACTGTTGAACCTTTGTTGACTAAAACCCTTAGTCTTATTGAATCCTCGTACTTCCCTGCCCCGTGTCACCTCGTCTGCTCTGTTGTCATTCTTTTTACCCCCGTGTGTCTTCAGGGGCTGCAATTTTAGGAAACGACTTATTAAAAAAAAGAAGTTCAGAGAAACCTTGACCCTGACCCTGACCCTGACCGTCCTGCGCTGACGTGGGACCCTTCCTGGAGGTTGAAGGTACACGCCGCACCTGCACACGTGGGAGGACTCCAGCTGCAGCTGTGTTGGACTCTGCTCCGCTGCTGACGTTCCTACTGTGTGTGGTTTGGACCGTCTTCACCAGGAACTTTCTCAGGGGTTGTTAATCATCACGGCTGTGGAGATAAGACAAGACCTCTCTGATGTAAGTTTACTGTACATTTAAAGATACAGCGGGCACAAAGGAGCGACATCTAGTGGTGAGACAGAGCATTTGGTTTAGTTTTTTTAGTTTAGTGTTGTTAATTTTTCTATTGTCACATGTTGTTATTTTAAGTTTATTTTCTTTTTCTTTTTTTTTTTCATTTTTGAATCTGTAACCCTTGAATTACGGGAAGCTGCCTGGGCTTCTGTGACACAAATGTGGGACTGTTGAGAACAACAGAGAACTGTTACCGACACAAAGAACCAGTGAGACGTCAGCCTGTACTCAGCTGCAGAGATCTGTTGTACCAGAGGAGTTTGTTTGTTTTTCTGATGCTTCCTGACACAGACGACGGCTCATAATGTTCTGTCAGTCTGAAGAGCCGCAACGGTGAATTATTAAATTAGCAAATGCACATTTATCAAATTTATCTTTGAGGGAGATGACAGGGAGAGAAAGTGATGGAGCTCTGCTGATCAGAGAATGTTTCTTTTTCTCACACACACACACACACTCACACTCACACACACTCTGTGAGCCCGTGAAGAGAGCGAGCCGCTGACACCTGCCGTCCCTGTTGGCCAGCAGAGTAAAGGTTAATGTGTGTGTCGTGGCTGGCTCCACAGGGGTGTGTGGTCAGAGGAGCCAGCAGACGGCAGGTGGTCAGTCGACAACACGCACCAACCTCCACCCAGTCGTATAGACAAGCACATATAGACTCAAGGTGGCGCTCAGGAACTTTGGCCTTTTGGCCTCTGAGCAGAAAAGTTTCCTTTTTGGACAGACCAGTTTGTCTGTTGACTTTCTCCAAACGTCCATTGGTGATTTGTAACATCCCATGATGATGTCATGGACAAGTCACTTTGATCTCCTGTCCTCCAGGTCAGATCATGTGACCTGGACCTTCAGGGTCTTCAGGTGAATTCACACATTTTCTTCGTTGAGGTCAGTGGGGAAAACCATGACAGTTCCACCTTTGTCCACGTGTCTCCTATATCTGTGCACGTCACTGAGGCTGGTGCACGTGGCAGTAATGAGTGTGGTGATTTGCAGGGGAAATGAATGAAGGGAGCCGCTGACTCCAGAGTCTGCAATTTAAAAAGTAATATTCCTGAACACATGTTCCAAAGGATTTGTTATTATTTTTCTTTTTTTTTCCAAACTCATTATATTTAATTGAAAATGACTTTCCCTCTTACTGTGTATTTGTGTGTGTGTGTGTGTGTGTGTGTGTGTGTGTGTGTGGAGTGCAGGGCAGGCTACAATTTTGAATAAACTACTGTTCACCAGACGAAACACGCTGCCTCGTCTGGACAGTTCTGCTGGTCCTCAGTAAATAAAACAGTTTGGACTTCATTTTAAATGTAAGGTCAGATTAGAGTTCAGGTGAAGATTGAGACTGGTCATGTATTTGGAAATGTAGAGGTTTTTTTTTTAGCGACCTCCTTTTGTAGATTGGAGTGTTGTCGAGTATCTAATTGGACAAAACAAAAATAAATCTAATTATAAGTTAGTGCACTTCTACACTGTGGCACAAATACTGTAAATATTAAATATTACACTGCTCAAAAAAGTAAAAACGCTCCGAACGGTCTCCCCCCCCCCCATCTGGGAAGAACATGCTGAAGGGGTTTTGGAACGAATTCTGTCGATGTGAAACGCGCCTGTGTGTGCACGGGTTTCTGTTTGTGTGTGCGTGACTGTGCGTCAGTTTTTGGAACACCTACCGACTGCTGCACTCATTATTATTTATCGTCTGTTATTCTAGAGTCGCGCGGCCGTGGATGGAGTGGGGGCGTGTGGGTGTGTGTGTGTGTGTGTGTGTGTGTGTGTGTGCGTGTGTGCGTGCGCTGGATCGTCAGGGCGTGGAGCTGCCAGTGGAGGAGGGTGGAACTCCGCTCCTTCCTTCCTACAGAGCTGAGGATCATCCAGCCGAGCGCACACCCCGACGGCACGCACCGCTGCTGCGCACAGGCTCGCGGACACGCGCACCTTATTCCAGGCTGCCAGGACTTTGTTGGAGCTTCAGAATAAACACCGCAGCTGGATGAGAAGCTGATGAGTCCAGTGAAGGTGGAGGCTGAGCTGGAGAAAGATGTGGAACTGCTTTACGCGCGGCCGTGCCTAGGTTTGCGCAGCATGCGCGCAGGTTTTGGTGAAGTGTCCCGGTGTGAGTGACTTCTTTCTCCGGTTCCTGTGGAGGAGTATGAAGTGCTGTGGCACGGCATGTTTCCTGCCCGCTGTCCCTCTGCTCAGGATTACGACTGATGGGATGTAGTAAATGGAGAGCTGCGGTCAACTTTGGACAGCTGAAGGTGCAGTCCAAGCTGTCCGTGCTCTTCACCATGATCGTCCTCTTCACCTACCTCTTCTACTGCCTCAACGGATACTGCGACTCTCTGCCCAGACCCGTGTTCAGCCACAGGACGAAGGGTAAAAACAGTCGGAATCTTGGCATTCGATGCACGATTGTTAGCAACAGCAGCAGCAGCAGCAGCAGCAGTTCGGTGCGTCTCCTCCATCACCGTCACATCTCACAGACCTGTGGAGCAGCGTGGCTCCTTCAGGCAGCAGCAGCAGCAGCAGCAGCAGCAACATGTCTATAGCCAACAGCTTCGGCAGTAAGAAGTTTCCTCAGGCCATCATCATCGGAGTGAAGAAGGGAGGAACCAGAGCTCTGCTGGAGTTTCTCCGCATCCACCCAGACGTCAGGGCGGTGGGATCTGAACCGCACTTCTTCGACCGCTTCTACGACAAGGGACTGGACTGGTACAGGTATGGACTTTACCAGTAGTAGTGATGGAGATGTTCTGGTCCAAACTCCTACTGTCTGTTCATGTTTGATGATGTTTATTTTTACTACATTTTCGAACTTTTCTCTTTTAAAAAATCTAGTCAAATTTAGAAAAGATAGAACGTGTCAAACAGCGCTTTTCAAATATTTAAAAAAATGATCTCACGTCGTTCAAGACAGTGTTTCTAATTTTTTTAAACTCCATTTATGATAATTCAAGTTCAACTTTGAACACTTTGGATGGTTTCTTCCTTCAAAAGATTTAAAGTTTTTATTTCACTGCGTGCTGTTTTCACGGCTGCCATTTCCACCTCTGCTTTAGCATCAGTGCCGTTCACTTCTTTTTACCCTTTTTTCTGCCCTACTCTTTTCCTTCCTGTTATATTTCTACATTTCAACATCCACCCAAATACTGTTGTTCTGTCCCAGACTGTATTAGTGTCTTCCTAATATAGACGTTGGCTGTGAGGTGTCAGAGTTCAGGTCAGAGGTCACAGTGGTAGAAGCTGCCACTGTCACTTCCAGACTGCAGTGTCTCTTTTAACAGTTTCATCAGATTTTATTTCAATGAGAATTTGTGCAAACAAACAAACAAATTCACACCATCTGTTCTGACTTTTATTTTTGAATATTCCTCACTCACCTTTTCTTTTGTCATTACTTGTCCTCTCCTTCATCCTTTGTTTCCTTTTCCTCATATTTTCCTCATCCCCTGATTTTCCCTTGTTCCCCCAGTTGTCTTCATTCCTTTTTATTACCTGTTGAATCTTTTTCAAGATTCATCATTATATTTTATTTTTTCTCTCCTCTCCTCTCTTTTCCTCCCTGTTGTCTTCTTGCCTTTATTCTCCTTTCCCCCTCGTCTCTCCTCTATCTTTCTGTTAAATCTCCTCTCTGTACATTTCTCCTCAGTGTGAACTGTTTCTCTGCTGGTCCATTAGAGTGCGTGTCCCTGAGGACCTTTGTCACCTCCTCTCCTGATCCTGATCTTGATCTTGATCCTTGTCTGATCCTGTTCATAGGGGGACAATGGATGGATGGATGGATGGATGGGGGGGGAGGGGGGTATGTTGCTGCAGATCAGACCAGCTGCTGTTTATTCTGTCAATTTCAGAGGATCAGTGAAAAGACATTCTGTTGTTGTTTGTCCAGAGGACACAGGTGGAGGAAGGTGTGAGAGGAGAGTGGTGATCAGATGGTGCTGCTGCTGCTGGAGTTGTCAGCATCACACAGTATCTACTGCATGTGATGGTAGATACAGAGACAGAGGAGGAGAGAGATGGGGGGGGGGTGAGGGAAAGAAGATGTGAGGAGACGAGGACAGTTTATGGAAGAGACGAGGAGACAAGTGAGGTCGGAGAACAAGGAGGGGCAGCAAACACACGTGTGAAGGATGTAGGAAAAGATCAATGTCTGACCACAGACTCTGACAGTCTGACACCACATCCGGCCAAAACGTGGCCCATATGATACTTTTATTTGGCCCACATATGGTGTTGAATAACAGTACGGGATGGAAATGACATCACAAAAAAGGTCAGACTCAAGTAGTTAAAAGTCAGCTAGCATAGGAAATTATTAAGAAAAGTTAAATACAATACTGCATTTTGTCTCTAAGCTGTTGCCTCGGTGCCAATGAAAATGGAACTGTTGTGGAAACTTCATCAGTTCATCATTAACCCTGTTCTGATGAACTGAGACAAACAGACAGAAGAGGTTTGGGTTTGGG